TCTCGGGGCACTTCGGGTGCGGCCAGAGCTGGGTCCTTGCTTTCCAGCAGTGGGGGGCGGACCCCCTGCACCCAGAGCAGCCTGGTTCAGTGGTGGTGCAGGTGTGTGCTAGGTGAGGGGCAGGGTTTGGCCCCCGTGCAGAGAAGAAATGTCAGCACGCACAAGCTGAGAGGGCAGGGGCATCGTGAGGGCCTGGTCAGTGAGCCCTCAGTTGAGGCTCAGTGGCCTGGGGAGTCAGGCTCCGGCTGTTGAGAAAGATCCTTGAGTGTGACCCTGGGGCTACAGCAAATGATGGGTGTTTACCAGGCAGGCCTTGTTTATTTAGGGCCCAGAATAAAGTCGAGGGGCGGAAACATGATGTGAACCTTGTCAGCATCAGGCTCCCACTGTGCCCTTTGCCAGTCTGCATGTGGGCTCCAGCTTCCAGAGCATTCCTTACTCCCATGCAAGAGCTAAGGGAACAGACCCAGAGAAGTGAATGACTGGCCTGAGGTCACATGTGGATTCCCTGGCATTCCCCCTCCAGGGCTGCTTACCCGGAACAGAAAGGCCAGACTCTTCCCCAGGCCCTTTGGGCTGTGCCCCGACTTCCCCTCAGACTCTCCTCCCCCGTGTGCCTGCTGCCCGGCTCTTGGCCACTTGGCGCTTCCCACCTTGGCCTTTGTGCCGGGCCGGTCTCTGCCTGGAGCGCCGCTTTCCCGACTCTGCTCAGCCCCCGTCCAGCGCTTCCCCGAAGCTCCCGTCTGGGGAGGCTGGCCCAGCTCCTGGGGCGGCTGCCTGTCCTCCATGAGCCGCACCACGCTGATGACCGGGTCATCGTGGAGGCCCCGAGGCCTGGTGCTACTACAAATAGCATTGTCCCGGAATACATTTCACAAAAGTTCATTTATGGGCACTCTGAAGATTTTCCCTCAGTGAAAAAGAAACTGAATTTAAAATTTTAAAATGAAAAATACTTTATTGGAAAGCACGAACATTGTATGATTGGAAAGGAGGTTGACTTCTGTATTTGGTTAAACATCACCCTGGCTTGGAAGGTAAGTCGTGCTGTCTGTGAGTCTTGGCTTCAGAAGGATCCAGCACCTTCTGTTTCGTCCAGGAGATGCTCCCGCAACTCAAGTGACACAGGTCCTGGGCAGCTGGGGCCCCTCGGTGGTCAGCCAGGGGGGCAGGTGCATCTGGGAACACGGACACAGACCCCCTGGGTGGCTGGAGGGGAGGCTGCCGTCGTTTGTCCGTCACTGTCGCCACAACTCCCTGAGCCCCGTGAGCAGGGCTGCTCCTTGGACTGTCGGAGCTGTTGGCCTCGCTGGGCCGCCACCCTCCAGTTTGCTCTGCCCGCATGATGTGGCCCGCCCTGGACCACTGTCTGCCATCAGGCACACAAAGCAGGAGAGCTGGACCTGCATGCTACAGGGACTTGCATCCACACGCCTGCTCCCACCCCCCTCCCCTCATGCCACCTGTGCCGGGCCCGAGCCTGCCCAGGTTCAGGTGACCTCCTTCCTGCTTACCAGGAGGTCTGTCCACCGCTCACTTCTCTGTTCCGTGCCCCGTTGCCCTAGCCCTGGTGACAAGAGTCTAATCCTGTTGGCCCGCCCTTCGCCGAAGGGAGAAGAGAAGCATCCTTTATCGTGGTGCAGCGGCGGGTGGCAGATGGGCACGGCAGAGTTGGGCGGCGCAACCCACAGACAGTGGGCAGGAGTAGAGCAGGGACGGGGCTGGTGGGGGCGGGCAGGGCTGCAGCCCGTGTATGCAGCCTGAGTCCTCGTTCATGCAGTCTGTGAATGAGGGGAAGAAACTGGGCTTGGACACACCTTACCCAGGACACGCCTGACCTCTCCCTGAGGCCAGAAGTCTGGCATCATTCTAGACACGCCCCTTCTGCTCACTGATCACTTCACAGTCCAAATGTTCTAGGAGCTCTTTTGCCTTCTGACGTTCCCCCTGACCCTGTCTCCCTGTCTCCCCGTCACACTGCAGTGCTCCCCCAGGCCAGGCCCTCATCATTTCTCCATGGACCGTGAGCCAAGCTTCCCTGGGGGCCCGGTTCCTGATCATGCCCAAACCATGCCCCTGGCAGGACCCCACAGATGAGGGGCTCACTTCCTCTGCCTGAGTCCATGTCTGTTTCGCTTTGCCTTCTCCAGGAAGCCCTAGGGCTGGGTTGGATCCTTCCCCTGTGCTCCGCGTATTCCGGAACTGTTTCCCTGTGTGGTCATGACGGGTTTATGGGCCTCTGAGTCTCAGCTGTGAGCGTCTGGGGACACTGCTGAGCCCGGAGGTGCGCGTGGGAGGTGCTTCGTGAGTGCTGGGTCACAGAGGGCATTCGGAGTGAACGCACCTGCTGCGTACAGAGTGGCTGAGGGCGGGTGAGGAGACCAGCTTCGGAGGAGCGAAGCCTTCCAGGTACCGTCTCTGTCTCCGATTGGTGCTGGAAACCCCGTCTTCATGCCCTTTCCACTCTTCCTGGAGGAGCAGGTGGAGATCAGTCTGGACAAGAGATGTACTATCATCTGTGTCCATCTGTCTGTTCATTTGTCTGTCCTTCCCTTTTTCCCCTCCTTCCTTCCTTCCTTTCATCCCTCCATCCTTCTTTCATCCAGTATCTATTGAGCGTCTGCTCTGGACCAGGCACGCTCTCGCGTCCCAGAGACTAAAGATCGGGGGCCGACCAGAGCAGGACCCTGGGGCTTTGAGCTGTCAGTGCTCCATATTTCCTGCCTGTTCTTTGTGTCCCCTGGAGACGGTCAGGGAGAGTTGGGGACGGAGGATGGCCTGGGTGGATGGGGTAGAGTACAGATGGTGCCCGACAGAACGGCCCCACGAGCCATAGATTCGCTTTATGTCAGTTCAAGACAATGAAAGATCGGAAATGTCTCTGGGGAGAAAAACAAGATCATTCATCCAATTTGAGAGGAAAATTCACATAGCAGGAAAGTCTGGCCTAACCTGTGTCCTCAGAACCAGAAGTAGGTGTAAGAAGGGAAATCACTGAGATCTCTGAAGCTTCTCCAGACAGAATTCATCACGTTTGTTCTCTCACTTCCTTTGTTCTCCAGACAGTTTCCTCCTTTCCGTCCTCTGATTTCTGGTCCGTGGGAAGTCTCTGGCCCCCTGCTCCAGGGCGCCAGGTGAGGGCTGGCTGTTGGGTGACTGAGGGCAGCAGTGGGGCAGAACCCACAGGCCCCGGGCTGGGCCAGGGGCTCCAGATTCCTCGGAGAGTCCAACACAGCTTCCTGGGCCGGCCCTGGGGTTCTGACCCCGTAGCTCTCAGCTAGGGCCGTCTCTGGCTGGCCTGCCTCGAGGGGCATGGCCTGTCATTGGTACCCACTTCCCAGGGGTCATGAAGGCGAACTGGCTCGGCCTGATCTGTGAAACTAAAAGCAGGTGTCCCTGTCGGAGCAGGCTACCTTGGGCCCTTCAGGGTGTGTGAGGTGGCATGGCTGACGTTTCTGGAAAGCACTCGCTGTGAGGAGGGAGAAGGCCTGGCTCCTTCCACCTTGCCCAGCACCACAAGCAGGGCCCGGGGGGTGGCAGCAAAGCAGAGGCGTGTCCCTAGGGGTCTGTGCCCTGAGCCTGTCTGGCTTGTGCCCAGGATGGAGGAAGCAGGGACGGGGCACTTGGGACTTCCAGGCACAACCTTGCCACTGAGCCTCTGCTCTCCATCTCGTCTTCGAAATGTGTAGGCCCGAGCCTGTTGTCCTCACCCCATCCTGCATCTCCTCCCTGCTATGGGGACAATTCAAGGGGACAAGAGCACAGGACCGTGAGTGGGGCCTCGGCCCTGAGTGCATAGGTGTGCTCCATCCTGGAGGTGTGACCCAGCAGCAGGTGCCTTTCCAGCTCCCGTAGCTTCTCCCATCTCAGCTGAGCCTGAGATTCTACCGGAAGTCTGCAGCCAGACGTGGGAATGGTCGCCTCTGAGCACCCTGCCCTCCAGCACCCAGGGCCGCCTGCCGTTCTATCCATCTGCCGCTGGTTGGTCGGTGCCATCGAGGAGGGCAGGGCTTCTGCGTGCAGTTTCCCGCATTGTGTTGCCAACAGGCGCTCAGACGGTGACCTCTGTCCAGCGGATCTGCCTGCCAGGGAGACAGGCATACCAGAAATCCTGTTTCCAGTAAAAAGCGTATTTTCACTATTTGCGGGAACCTTATAATGGCTAATTTTGGCATCCACAGCAGGGATTGGATCGCTGTGTTAAAGTAAAACAAGGTTTGTTTATTTATTCGCGATGTGATTTATGTATGCAGACCTGCAGGGTTCGAGTCCGTAAAGGCTTCCATGCGCTCTGTGTCACCACCACCCGGGGCAGGAAAGGAAGCAGTCCCATGGCCCAGAAGCCTCCGTCGTGCCCTCTCCCAGTTTTCCGAAGCACCATCTGGTCCAAGGCAGGACTTTGGCCAGTGGATGAATGAGACATCAAGGGACCTTGGTGGGGGTGACAGAGCCAGTGGGGCTCTGAGTAGCCAGAGAGGTTTCCTGAAGGAGGTGGGGTTCGCTCAGTGGGACTGAAGTGTTTGCTGGAGTGACGGAGGTTTCACTTCTCGAGGCTGCTTTCTGCTGGTCCCTGGGTACCACCTGTTCCCAGCCTCAGACTACGTCCACCCCCCTTTCCAAGTGGCTGTGAAGTGACTGAGCCTGGCCCTGGGAGCACGAGGGGCCGTTGGCCCCTACAGTGTCCAGAAGGAGAGCAGCTTCTCTGCCCGGTGCTCATGCGGGCAGGCCTGAGTCCTGGCTGGCCCTTCCGGGCGGGGAGCTGTCCGGCAGTCATCTGGTTCGTTCAGACATTCCCCTGCTCCTCCCGCACACCCTGACGGGGCACAGGGCTCAGCCGCTTCTGCCAGCAGGGCCTCACACCTCAGGGCACCTGAAAGTTCCTTCTTCACACAAGCTCAGGCTCACCTCGCCTGCGCGGCGGCTCTGACCAGGCCACCTGCGCCAGCCGGCCGGGCTCTCATGAAAAGTCCTAACCTTGAGCTGTGTCTGTGATTCCGTAGCTCTAAGAAGTCCAAGAAACGCCCTGAAGTGGCTGTGAAGCCTAAACCCTCACCCCGACTCACCATTTTTGATGAGGAGGTGGACCCTGATGAGGGGCTCTTCGGCCCAAGCACGAAGCTCTCCCCGCAGCGCCCCGCAGAGGACCTGCCCCTCCAGGACCGTAAGTAGAGCCTCCAGGCATTTCCTTCACTCTGGGTGTCCGCTCAGTGACCCAACCAGCCTTTTGTAAGTGGTTTTGGACCTGCCCATGTGAGCACAGTGGAAATCTTCTCCTTGTCCTGTTTCGACGTGGTACACACTCAGGTTATGGAGATTGTCTGCTGGAGAAATCTAGTCTTGCACTTTGTGTCCCCATAGCCTGGAACATTCCAGGGCTGTATGTTTATTCTGATCATCCCAGGGAAGAGGAGGTGGCATCTTTGTCATTCCAGTGGCCAGATGTGGGCACTGTCTGGGAAGGAGATGCAACCACCCAGGTGTGCTGGGGCCCTGTACGATTTGGATTCTAATGAGAGAGTTTGTGTGACCTGAATAAACCCCACTGGAGGGTCCTGTGCAGAGTCGGAAAGGGGAAAGCCGAGCAGCCTTGGGACTTCCGTACATGTCCCTGGGTCTGACCTTTTGTCACCCCACCTGGGTCCTCATTCAGGATGGACAGATGCTGTCCCCCATTAATCCAGCCAGCACTTGGTGACCACCCAATGAGGGCCAGACTCTGCTGAGCCTGAGAACACACCGATGAGACAGACACAGTCCTGGCCTCACGGCTCTGAGGACATGTCCTGACAATTTCAGCGTCACCTTTGAGTGCTGTCCCTTGCCCTCTTTCCCCACCTGGGCCTCTTCCTCGGGTTCTCTGTGCTCAGCCTTTTCCCTTGCCCACTGTCTCCAGGCTGGGCCAGGAGGCTGGGCGAGGCTGTCTCCACCTGTACCCCCTTGGCAGCTGAGGACGGGCCAGGACGTCCTCTGGACCATTCTGCTCCTTCCTTCCCCACAGCCCTGAAGTTGTTTGAAGATCCTGACCTCGGCGGTGCAGTCCCTCTGGGTGACCCCTTACTGCTGCCTGCCGCCAGTGAGAGTGGAGGGCCCATGTCCCACGCGGAGCTGTTCAGGTACCACCTGTCCCTTTCGGTGCTTCTCCGCCAGCCCTGAGAGTAGCCTAGATAGAGCCAGGGACCTATCCCTGTGTGGGAGCGTCTCCCAGCTTCGGCCTCCAAGGGAGGCCATCTTGGCCCCTCCGAGGCAGGAGCCTGTGGGTCGGCTCTGACCAGGAGGCAGTGGGGGGGCCTGGGGTGGGGGTGGGCCACAGCCCCACGCAGCCCTGCAGGTTCCAGAAAGAACTTCATGAATACAAGTCTTTTCCTTTCCATGTTCACACTTTTATAGTTTATGTGAAGAATAATTAAATTATATAATTGCAAGAGCAAGTATAATTGGCATAAGTGGGTTTGGGAACAACTAAGATGGGTTCTTGGTAGCAAAGTGCAGATGTGCCGGACCGCGGCCAGTCCCGGCAGGGTCCCAGCGCGGGCTGGAGAAGGGAGTGTGAGGCGTAGTCTGTTCCGCAGAGGTGGGTGGACAATGCCAGCGCCTATTCAGAGCACTTGCCGTGGTCTGTGTGCTAGACTCCACATGCGGCCCGATTTCATCCTCACAACGGCCCCCCACCTAGGCTCGATCTCTGTTTTAGAGAGCAGAGTGTGGGAGAGGTAACTGGTCCAAGGCCACGGCTCCCCCAACTGGAGGACAGGACACCGGCCTGTGTCCTGTCCTCCGTGCTCCTTCCAGGACTCTCGAAGCACTTAGAGGAGAGGAGGCTGGGAGATCTGCCTCCCGCCCCGGGCCGGCAGCGCTCCCCAGGCTTTGGCATGTGCCGGCTGCGCTCTCCGCGTGCTTGGGACTGTGCGTCTCCGTTGCATCATCCGTGCCCCCAGAACGCAGCCTTGCTCAGCGGTGTACGGGAGGCCGAGCTGTGTCTTTCCAGGAACGGTTACGTGGTGCCGAGAGGCTGTCATCTGCGCCCTCGTTAGCAGCCTCGGCTGTTAGGCAGCCCTGTCAGTGCCCGGGTCACAGCGAACGCTGTCTCGTCTTTACAGCTCCCCGTGGTCCCTGGCGTCTCTTCACTGTCATCTGTGTCCTCGGCCCTGACCGCCCCGGCAGGCTGGGAGAAGCTGGGGCGGTGCTGTCTTGAGAGGAGAGACTGAGGCACGGGGAAGCAGACTCAGCCGTGAGGAGGGCGGCAGGGCCCCTCTGAGTGCGCCCTGCCCGGGGAGGCTCCGCCATCTCCAGGACTCCATGCGTCCCAGGGAGGCCATTCCCCAGGGACTGCGCTGGCACAGTTCCTTCTGAGTCTGACACCAGCGCCTCCCGACCCGCGTTCTGCAGAACTCCGGTGTCGCCTTCAAGGGGGTTCTGTGGCCGGATGGCTGGGGCAATACCAGTGTTCAGCAGGACTCTGAGGGCATGAGTGGGAAGCAGCGTGGGGTACTGCACGTTCCCGTTGGTCTCGGGGACCCTCTCCCTTTGGCGTGCCTCTTGGCATCCCCCAGAGCCCTCTGGGGGTTACTGGAGAACGGGTGTCCGTGGCCCTGCCTTCACTCTGCCACACAGCTGGTGATAAAGAATTCGCGTTCGGAGAGCGGGAGCCGGGTTCTATTCGCCTTTGTGCTGGCCCTGTGACTCTCCGGGCAGCGATCGGGGTTCCTTGTGATAAAAAAGCTTCCTGATGCTCATTCATTCACCGATGCTGTCACGCGTCTGTTCATGCCATCGTGGCCATCAGTGAGCCTGAAGCCCCCCAGAGCACTGTGCCCAGCAGGTGCTGGAGTCTGACAATCCTCAGCTCCCTCTTGCTGAGCAGCCAGGCCAGTGGGTGGCCTGTCCCCTGCAGGGGCCTGGGGAGGGGGAGTGGGGCTGGGGTCTTTGGAGCTCCCCACAGCCTCTCCTTGGGAGCCGGACCTTGCGTTAGTGGGACCCAATTCCAGCCGTGACTCAGGGTGCCTGGGTACAAATAGAGCACGTGGGAAGGGGTGACCCGCCACCACCTATACCCCGAGTGTGACTGCCCCCCACCACCACCTCAGCAGCTTCTGGTGAGTTCCCAGCAGTGTTTGCCCCAGCTGTATAAATCCTGGACGCTGACATGGGCTGTTAGCTGCTGGTCTGTTTCCCTACGGGCCCCTGCGTGCAGATAATTCAGTGCCCCCCAAGCTTTCCCTGGGCTCCAGCTCCAGTGGAGGATGCAGGAGGAGCCAGCACCTGCCGTGGGGAGCTCAGGGAAGAGCTGCTGCTTGGGGGTGCTGGTCAGGAGCAGCCCATGCTGGGTTACACTTGGGGGGATTGCCGCAAGCCCAAGACAGCTACCTCTCTTCGGAGGCCTGGCTTGGGCCGGGCCCTCTCGGTCTGGACTGGAAGGACATCTCTGCCATCCGCAGAGGCTCTGACTTCTGCTTTTGGGGTCTCTGCCCCGCCGCAGGCGGTGACCCGGAGCTCCTCTGGCAGCTGGTACTTGGCAGGCAGGGTGGTGCTGGGCACGCCACGCCCAAACAGGCCTCTTCCTAGGCCGGCCCATGTCTGAGCTGGATCCCATTGACAGATGGGGAGACTGAGGACCAGGAAAGGAGCGTGATGAAGCGGACCCAAGGCCGCTGGTGAAAGCGTAGCGGGAGAGAAACGGAGCTGCACTCTGGGCTCGGTGCTGTGCTTCCGGGCCCACGGCGGCTCTGCAGCCCTTGCTGGGTGATGCCGCCGTTACCGTCTCGCGGTTGGGGACACTGGGGTCTTCTGCCTCCGGCACCTGAACCCTCCTCCCCTGTCCCCATGCAGCCTACCGAGATGCCCTTAGACACCTTGCCCAGGTGTGGGCAGCACTTGTGTGGATGTCTCTGCTGGTCGCTGGTTTAGGAAGCACGTGAAGGGCCAGGAATCCTCTTTTAAGAATTCAAAAATTGGCCCTAGGATCTCAAAGGGAATTTTCCGTGTGACTCTGTGAAAGCCCCTATGATAGTGTTACCAGACTCCCCCCTGCCCCCATCCCTGGGTCTCCTTCTGTCTCCTGGTTCCAGACCAAATGGAGTTCTTCCGCCAGGAACTGGCAGGAGGGGCTCCTCAGGCAAAGAGGGCAGAGCTGGGCTGTGGTCTGCTTTGCTCAACCGCCGTCCGGTACCTGGGGCGGGTCCTGTGTGACCGTCCCCCTGCTGTGGGCTTTAGTCCCACCGCACGGTGGGCTCTCAGGTCCGGGACCATGGCTCCGCTCTTGGCGGGCTCTGTCTAGCACCCGGGTGGCCCACAGTGGGCACCGTGGATGGGCAGCCCCACCCCACCATGGTCAGATCCCCTCATTTAGTCTTTCTCGGGCTGAACTTGGTCCAGATGAGGGCTCAGCTTCTGAAGTCAGACGCCCTAGTCCTGACTCAGGCAGCCTCACACGCGGTCATCTCGCGGGCAGCTCGGCCTGGGGCTTGAGCCTGCACGTCTGCAGGGTGGACAGCAGCTGTACCCCCAAAGGGTTTGGGGATAAAACAAGATACTGTGTCTGGGCTGCTTGGCACGGAGCGGGAGCTCTGCATCCAGCAGCTGTTACTCTTACTTCTTGAGAGGTTGAAGGACAAGTCCCCTAAAGGGCCATCGTCTAGAGGGGGACCACGTGAAAAGCAGAGCCCTCCAGAGGCTGCCGAGGGGCCGGTTCTGCTCCCCCTGTGCTGTGGGGCTGTGGGGCAGGCAAAGCCTGTCCCCCAGTTCCTCCCTGGGGGCAGGCTGGCAGAAAGGAGAGGTTGGGGCACGGCCTGTCGTGCTCCCCAGAGTGGGGTGCCGTTGCCTCGGGGCCTTGCTCCCTTTGCGGGGCGGTCATATTCAGAGCTTCCCTTCCCCTCTGGTTCCCTAGAGTTGAAGAGGACTTGGACCAGCTTCTGAACCTGGGGGCTGAGCCCACCCCCAAGCCCCAGCCTGAGTGTAAAGTACCAGTGGCCGCTAGGCTGGCGCTTCCCAGAAAGCCAGCTGTCCCCCCCCGAGTGGGCCTGTCGGAGGCCGTGGCGGGGCAGCGGAAGCAGCAACAGATTCAAGCCATGGATGAGATGGACATCTTACAGTATATCCGGGACCACGATGCGCCCAGCCGGGCCGACCCCAGCCTCTTCTGACGCCCCCACCCCCCGGACTGGCCCTGGGCCGGCAGAGCCTCTCCCCGGAACGATGTGGTGAGGTGGGCACTGTGCCCTGCAGGGCCAGGACCTCTGTTCCCAGGGGAGGGGGTGGACGCCCAGGTCATAGGACCCCTGTACTGCCTTGGGTTTTTGTCCTGTCTTGTTTGCCTGTGGGGTCATAGAACCCTGCAGGGCACAGAGAGAGAGGTCACCATAGGAATTGGAGCCCGAACTCTCAGCCACATGGATGTGGAGGGGAGAGCATGTGGGGTGCCTTGCTAACCAGGAGCTCAGCCCCCAGGATGAAGTTGAGACTGCAGGGACCCTGGGATGTCCTACTCAGGGCAGGGAAACTTTGTGTCCATTCGTGCCTACTGCATAGTAGGGAGGGTCCACCCAGCCTGGGAGTGGGGGCTGGAGTCCCTGGGCAGTGTGGCTCCTGGGGGCCTGCAGGATCTGAGAGGGTCCCCGGGGGACGGATGCTGCGTGGGTACCTGGGAGAGCCTGGTTGGGTGGAGTGTCCCTGAGCTGCCTCTGGTCCTCAGGTGCTAAGCAAGGTACCTTCCCATGTGCCCATCTTGAGGGAGACACGAGGCCCAGCCCTGCCTCTCTCGGGTGTGGACGGCCTGACAAGCCCCTGGTCGTCCTCCCTCCTTTCCCAGGGAATACCTGGCCAGACCATGGCCTCCGGGGGCCTCTGGCCATATGGCCAGTGTCCACCCTTACAGCTCTGAGCAGCGGGGTCCGAACACTGCCTGGGCCTACAGCTAGGCCTACTCACGGGGGGCCTAGGTAGATGCTCCTGGCTACTGGTTGGAGCACTTTGTCCAGAGGTGGGTGCTGCCAGGCCTTCCCTGTCCCCCAGATCTGGACATGTTCACCGGCCTCTCAGCAGTGGGGACCGTCTCTCCAGGGAGAAGGAGCCCTATGCCAGAGCAGGGCCAGTGCCTTAGACTTCCCTTGGACCCCCCACGCCCTGGCACCCGGGTCGGGGCATGGCACAGTGCTCAGGAAATTCTCAGTGAACGATGTTTAATAGAGCAAAGAATATCTTTTTAAATATATTCTTCATGTTCCGTACTAGTTTTTAATGAAACACAGTTTTTAGTGAAATGTAACCCCTGTTGTCCCTCGGCTTCTCCTGCTTGAAAGGACCCTGGAGGGGGTTTGGAAGTAGAACCCCAGATGCTTTCCTGATCGGGGGCAACCGCAAGCTCTGAGGGAGGCCCCCAACCAAGCTGGTTGTTGGCCACCATCAGCCTCTAGTACCCTGCTCCTGCCCTGTGCCCAGACCCGTACGGCGTGGGACCACCCCCTCTGTTCTGTCTTGCGTCTCTTGCACCCCGGCACCCTCAGCAGCTGTCCAGTCTGAGGAGGCTGCCCTCCCCCAGCCTGGGCCAGAGGGACGGGAAGTAGGCAGTCGTGAGGTCTGAGAGCTGCACACCTTCTCTGCCTTACCCGGCCTCCAGGGCCTCTCTCCCCAGGGCCCTGCGCAGGCCCCAGGGCTCCTCGCACCTGCCACTCCACTTCCCCTTTCAGCGCCAGGCCTTGGCGCCCGCACCCTGCCAGGCCTGGAAAGGAGTGAGTGCTGAGGGGAGGGCTGCCTCTCTGTTCTGCCACCACCGCTCAGCGACTGTGCCATCGGAGCAGGGGGCTCAGCTGCCAGGTGCCCGGAAGGGGTCATTCCAGTGTGGGTTCATCCACGCAGACTGGCCTCCTCCTTGGGGGCCTGGGTTTATCCACGCAAACTGGCCTCCTCCCTGGGGGCCTGGTGCTTCCTAGACACTTAAGTGAGGATGTGCACGTCCCCGAATAATGATGCTCGAACTGTGGCTGGTTCTCCCCTGCGGGTCTGTGATCTGGTGAACCCATGACACCCAGTGATCCAATAAAGTTCATGTCAGTGACTCATTCCAGCATTTGTTAATGGTGGTTTTTTTCTGTGCCTGGGCTAATGGGGAATGTTGGGGAGGGCGGGGGATTATCTTGTTAACAGTGGGCTCGGCAAGGGGAGTTGCCCTGGAAGGACCCTGGGGTCTGCCACGGCTCTACCCAGGCCCCCAGGCTGCTGCTCGGTAGGGTGAGTTGAGGCTAGAGGGAGAATTCCACTGTGTAAACTGAGGCAGAGGGGCCAGAGGCCCAGGCCCCAAAGGAATCATTGGGTCAGTAACTGGCCAGCCAGGATGCTTGCAAACAGTCTGGAAAGAGGACCCTTCCTTTCTCCGGGCTTACCGTCTCCTCATGGTGGGGACTGGCCTAGGCTTGGACTGGTCTTCGGCTCTTTAAGCTCCGACATCAAGTAAACCCACCCCTCCATACACACACCTGTCCTGGCCTCCTCACCCCTGCTGGAGCTCAGAGTCTGAGATGCTGCTTTGTGCCAGGACCCCAGAGGTCCTGGGCAGATGGCTGTGCAGACTGACAGCCACTGGAGAACTAGAACTAGTCCTCAGGAGCCAGCGAGGCCCTGAGCCGGGGCAGGCTGTGGGCCAACACTGGCCTCCTCCCACCACTTGGCTTTGGCTCTTGTAGCCAAGCTTGAATTGGGGTCTTGGCTCCCAAGGACAAACAGTTGGGCTCTTCTGAGAAGGACCCCACAGCCAAGAGCCTGTAGCTGAGAGCTCGCCAGACAAAGAAAACGGAGAGGTGGAACTGGGGGACAGTGGCCTTTGGAAGCTGCTGGGAGCTCCATGGGCAGGATGCGCCATCTGTGGCCGGAGTCCCCTTCCCTCCCGACATTGTTCCTCTTGGGAAGCCAGGAACTCCAGTTCTGCTGGAAAGTCCCCCTCCTAGCTCCTGGCCTTGCCAGGCTGTGCAGTGGGGCTCTCTGGGGAGCACCCACCCTTCTGAGCTCTGGTGCCCCGTGTTCATGTCTGTGCAACTGTCTGGAACATTCCTTCTCCTCCACGAGCTCTGGCGGCTGCCCCAGAGCTCGAGTCCTCACACTGGATACAGACAAGAGAGCAAAAGTCCAGCCGCTTTTCAGGGCCCTCTGGCCTCAGTGCCTCACTGCTCCCTTGGCACCGTGTTGATACACTCTGTGCGGAGATTAAACACCCAGCGTTAGGCTTTGGTTTGCCTCCACCCCTGGGATCTCCAGGGAGGCCTGGTGTGGGAAATCCTGCTCAGCCGTCCAGCTCCCCGGCCGTCCGGCTGAACATACCCTGGGGAAGAGAGAAGGGCCCGGATGCTGGCCCCAACGGGGCAGCAGGCACCTCGCGGTCTGCTGGGGCTTTGCGTGGGTTGATGGCTGCCCAGAGCAGGCCTGGTCAACACCCAGAGCCTTTTTGAGTGGCGTACTATTCAGTGCAAACCCTGATCACTCCAAACCATTCCCCGTCAGCACCCTGAGGCCTCCCCGGTGGGGATCGTTGACTGAAGGACCCTTGGAGAAACCAGCCATCGGGCTCAGGGCATGGAAGGATCTAGGTTTCAGTCCAGCTGGGCTGTGTGACATCCTCTTACCCCACAGCCCACAGTGCCACGTGAAGAGACTCCCCTGGGCTCTCGTAAAGGGACCAGCAGGACTCTGACGTCCTATTCGTGCTGGAAGAGTTTCCGTGGGCTGGTCACTCGCGCATGGCAGGGGGACCCCTGCCCGGGACGAGCTGAACGCTGATGGGAAGCGGCCGGCTGTTGGGTGGGCGGTCAGAAGCTGCCGGCAAGCTCAGTTCGGCCCGGCATCCAGCCTGGGCACTGAGCACTCATTGCCAGGTGCTGAATACAGACAACGTGGTGAATGGAACGACGTGGTGAGCATAACCTGGAGGGCCGATGCTAATCCCGCTCCTGGCTGACCTCGGGCTCTTGTTCTCCATGGCTCACACTCAGGATAAAACCACAGCCTCTGGAGCGGCGATCATGGGCTGAGCCCGTAGCCTGGGTAAGCAGGAATCCCTCCTGACAACTTTCAGAGGTGCCAACGCATCTCTGCCAACTCAGCAGCCAGCAGCAGCCTCTAAATTGGTTTTTTAGTAAAGCTGAGTTAGCTCCCTCCAGCCCGACTGGCCGGTCCTGCCATCGATCCAGGGCGAAGCCAGAGGGAGGCCAGGACCAGGCAGGAGGCCCAGCTCCGGGGCTCGGGGGACACAGGGAGCGAGAGATGCCATGAACGTCTCCTGAGCACCCACGGGGTACGGTACCTTTCCCAGGCACGATAGGGGTCCCAAAGTTGGAGAACCATGAGCCATTAAAGCTGGATCTGCCATGAGCCGTGCTGAGCCCCCAGTTTCAGTTCTGTTCTGTGGGCCTCCTGTCCAAACAGCAGACGCCGCTGAAGGAGGCACCCCCCTCCTGTGCAGCCTCTCACCCCGTCTTCCCTCCCCTCCGACACCCGCCCGCACAGAGTGTTGCGTGTGACCTGAGCCCAGCCTCCCGTCTGCTGTAACGAAGTGCCACAAACTGGGTGACTTGAAGCAAGAGGAATTTGTTCTGTCCCAGTTCTGGAGTCCAGAAATCCGAAATCAAGGTGTTGGGAGAGCCGCACTCTCTCCTAAGGCTCCAGGGAGAATCCTTCCTTGCCTCTTCCGGCTTCCGGTGTTGCTGGCACTCCTTGGACTTCCTTGGCTTGTAGCTGCGTCCCTCCCATCGCTGTCTTCATGTGGCCATCTCTTCTGTGTCTGCTCTGGGTTTGTGTCCAAATTCCCTCTTCTGGTAAGAATACCAGCCATTGGATTAGGACCCGGTATGATCTCATTTTACCTTAATGACACCTGCAA